CTCTCTCCCTTCCCTCTATCGCCGTTCTCTCTCCGATTTCTCGACGACGGTCGCTTCCAGTTTCACAGCAGCAATAGCATCGGCATCCTACATTGCATCGCTCATGCTGCCATTCGCAGCAGCGCAGCATCTTCGATGCTACTGCTGAAGCTGTCGTTCGCACAATGCCGAGGCAACGGTGCGCTTGAGAGAAATTAGGGTGGTGGTATTGGTGGTGTGGTGGCAACGATGGTGGCAGAGTGAGATAAAAAGTGTTTGTGAGCAGTTATTTGAGTGTTGTGATCAATAAATTGGTTAATTTGTGACCAATAAATAATATGTGATCTAAAAGAATGTGCTTTGTGATTAAATTTATAATCGTGACTCAAAATTTTATAAGTTGTGACCAATTAATTTGATAATTTCTGACTATAAAATAAGTTTTAACCTATAAAATTTGTTATTTGTGATCGACAAATAAATTGTAACTTATAAAATTTTGAATTTGTAATCGAGAAATAATGTGTGACCAACAAATTTAATAATATATGATTGATAAATAAGTTGTAATAATAAATTGTATAATTTTGACCTTAATATATTTAACCATTTATTTAATTAACATAATTTAGTTACCTGACTTTTGAAATAATAAACCTAATTTCTTAATTTTGAAATTGTACTTTGGAACCAACTTATATATGTGAAGTTCCCATGTCTTTAATTGTGTATTTTAAAAACTCTTTTAAGACTCTCTATAAGTATTTTTGTATTCAATCGAGACTTTTATAAACTTTTAAAAAGTCTCTAAAAGTTACAGAGTATTCAATTTTTTTTTTTAAATTCTATATAAGTATTGTGTATTTAAATTGTTAATAACTTCTAAAAACTTTTACAAAAGTCTCTAGCATACTAGCTTTAAGCATAAAGTACTAAAATAAAATCTCAAAATTCGTTTCTCATTCATTCCAAGATTTTGGGAGATTTACAAAAAGAAATAAAAAATAAAAATGAATATGTATATTTTTTAAATATTTCTTTTTTTTTTCTTTTACGAATATTAGAATCATGATTAAAAATTATTTTTTCTATTGATTATATTTGTTTCTTTTCTTTTCGCTCACCCTTTTTTATTTTTTTATGAAAAAATTAAATTGTAACTAAAGATTCTAATAACTTTTTTTTTTTCCCTTTTTCCATCATTTTTTTTATGAAAAATATATATTTGTAATTAAAAATTATAAGATTTTATATCAAAGATTAATTTATAATTAAATTTAAATATATTAATTTCTTAAAGTGATTATTATTTTTTTCAATTTTTTATATATATTATTTTGATTTATTATTATTTAATTAAGGTGACTAAAATTTTTATTCTTTTAAAAATATTTTTTATTACATGGGGAGGTAAAAAAGAATTGTGGGAATCACCGTCTTATACGCGAGACTTTCACAATGTTGTTCTAGACTCTAGAGCTACATGAATTTTATTTTCAATGAATGCCTTTGTAAGTCTGTTGAATTCTATAAAAGTTTATATAAGTTTTACAAAGAAAGTCTATAGAAATCCGAAAGACTTAATTTAATTTCGTAGAAATCCATAAACTGTCCACAAAATTCACAAAATCAACACTTTAAAAAATCAATGAAAATCTTAAAAGTCCCAATTGAATACACTCCCTTATGTAAGTTTTACATTCTTCCATGTAACAACAATCAATACCGTTGATTTTTAAACGATATCCATTCTATCGTTGCCTATGTTTATTGCACCTAGGGGATGCCGAACTTATTGTCAACTAAGAAAGCACATGTAACTTTATTCTTGAATCATAAGCATTTTCATATTATACCAGATGTATACGAATTTCATTTTTATCATCTTATAATATAACGAAATATTAATTTAATACATTATATTTGGATTGGATAAGCAAAAAATATTTATCAATAAATTAATCATTTATCGAGCAGTATAATTATAACATTAATCTTTTGTACGCTTGGTAGAATATACCAGAACAATGCTATTGCTGATCCATTTATCTAACAAAAAAATATAAAAAAAAAGCCCCAGGGCACATCTCCAAGTGGTAAAAGGGGAAGATGAAAAAGCTTCAGTTTTGTTTGAGGTTGCCGCGTCAAGGGTTCAAATCCTGAAATTTGGATTTGGCATTTGGGTAAGTGTAAGTATATAAGCAGCCTTCCACCCTATATTTTTGAGGGGCATAACTTGCGATTTACCTCTTTCATTAAAGCCTCTGGACATGATAGATAGGGACCGTCAAAGATGCAGCTCATCCTTTATTTTTCTAACAAAATTGGTAGACTTGTGTAGAGTACAAAATGACTACCCTTCCTATCTTGGCACACATTTTAAGGTCATCTTAAAACGTGGCAAAATCTTAACATTCCAAAAGCTACTCGGATAAACTCCAAAACATGGATAAGGAACCATGATATCATCATCTATTTCAATCTTTTTCCATTTCCTTTTATCTTAAAAATAAATAAATTATATAAGCTCACCCTCAGTAATGTATCTAACACCATTATTATTAAAGTATGTGGCACTAATGTAACATAAAATAAAAAAAATATAATTAAATGAATCATTTAATTCCACCTTTCATTTATCCTATCGCTTAACGTTACCTAAAGTAGTTTTCTAGCTCCAATAATACTAGGGGAGTGTTTGATGTATATTATTGAGGAAATAATATATTTTAAATAGTAATATGACGAAAAATATTATTCTATTAAAAAATATATTGTTGAAAATGAATTTTGAAAGAATGTATGTCGAACAAAGGCTTTATAATATTACCCCACCCATTTCCACAACATTAATATCAATTAGCAAATTACATGTGTGGTACCAATTTGGATGACAATGAATTTTCCTAATTTATTGTCGCATTAGTATTGGGTAACAGTGGGCCCAATTTGATTTATCAAACTAGGTACTAAGTTTATTGTCATATAAATATAGAGGTGTCAATCCGGGTGGTCCGGGTCGGG